ACCATTTAATTTAAAGTAATGAATATTGGACGTAGAATGTGGGGGCACAAGCGTTAGCAACCAGAATTCTTTAGAGTAAAAATATTTTAAGTGAAAGTTTTCAATTAGATTTATTACGAAGAAGTCATCGAAGAGTTGGTGAGAGGCAGCAAACAAGAGGCTTAGTCCCCTAGTGTAAAATTAAAAAAAACTTTTATGTCTGCCATTTTTAAAATTCTTTAGCGCTAAAAACATAAATTCCTATATGCTTAAGAAACAAAAATACCAAAAAGCTCTAAAAAATCTAATTTTAATTAAAAGGTTGTACCAATTTATTATTTTACCTAATTTTGGATACCTAATTTTGGATACATACATCACTTTTAAAAGAGAAATATCTGTATAATAGATATAACATCCATGTGCAATAAATACTGATTAGCCATGGAATTAGGTGGAAAAGGCATCGCGGATAACTAAAAAAACGTAAAATGCATGGTGGAATCACGAAAAAAAATTATAACTGTTGTTGCGGCAATCACTAACTCCAATTAGTTTGCGCCACCAAAAGTATTCAGAATATGTAGGTTACTCTGAGTATGGCAAGAGAAAAAAGAGAGAACTGGAAATATCGTTGAATTGGCTTTTTGAAATATCTTTGGAACGCTGTGTTTTGTTTTGTTTTTTGTTGTTTTTTATTTAAAATAAATGTTTTGTTTTGCCTGTTTTTAAACGTTATCAATCAATAGACAAGATGCCTCTCACAAACACAGTCAATCCGGTTAGGAACGACATTTCTGGCGCCCCCGGGTGGGCGGCCTTGTCTTAAGGATTGGTAAGAAAGGTAGGCGAAGATTTATTAATTTCCATTTTGAAGATTAAATATTTGACAATTTGAATACTTTTGAAGATTTGAAATATATATATATTTATTTGAATATTTGATACCAGAACGGTAATTTATATGTGCTTANGATTTGCATTTTTTTAAAGTGATGCTTACACAATCAATACTTAGTAGGATAACCCTTATAATTTAAGACAGCTTCACAGCGTCTTTTCATCGAGTGAACGAGTGTTTGGAGTTCATCTTTCGTAATCACATGGTGCCAAGAATCAATTATAGCTTCAATAAGTTGTCTTTTATTGGATGGACGTTTTTTTCGTACAGGAATTTTCAAACGTCGCCGTAAATTTTCAATTGGATTGAGATCAGGACTGTTTCCTGGCCTTAGTAACATATCTATGCCTCTATTTTGAAACCATGTTTTGCATACTTTTGCTGTGTGGCATGGAGCTGAATCCTGCTGAAAAAGTAATGGTGCGTTGTAGGGGAAGAGATCCCTGATGGAAGGTATCAATTTTGGTTTCAGGACAGTTTCGATGTATCATTTGGCATTCAGGATGCCATCAATTACTTAAATTCGTCCCACACCACCTGCAGACATACATGCCCAAATCATGACATTTGTTGGGTTTTTTATAGTTGCTTCAATGCAATCAGGATGAAGTGCTTAACCTACTCTACGTCTCACATATTTTCCACCATCACTACCAAAGAGTGATATTTTACTATCATCGCTCCAGATTACTTGCTTCCATTGATTTTCTGGCCATTTAATGTGTTCTTTTGTCCACTTAACTCGTTTTTCGCGTTGCTTTTGATTTAAATATGGTTTTTTCTTTGGAATTCTCGCTTGTAGTTTAAATCCTGATAACCTTCGTCTTATTGTTCTTGAACTTACTGCAATACCCGCTGCATTCATTTCACATCTAATGGCATCTGATGAAATTTTTCCATCTTGAAGGCATAGCCGTTTAATTTTTCTATCGGCAGTTGCACTTGTGCATTTTTTTCGGCCTGATTTGGCTTTATTTTCCACCGATTTCGTTTTCTCATAACGTAAGCAGAACTTTCGTACACCAGAACAAGTTACTGAATCACCAACTTGTTTTGCAATTTCAGCATAAGAGATCCCATTTTCTCTCAATATGACAATTCGGCTTCTTTTTGTGGATGTCCAATTAGTTCTTCTTGCTGATGGCATTGTTTAAAATTAGTTTAATAAAAAAAAGGACTTTAAATATTCAAAAACTGCAATATTCTATTTAATTGTACTAGTATGCATCATTCCTCAAAATATTTCCACAACAATAACTCTATTACCATCCAAATAACCTGAACTATAGTTACAGACATTTGATTGGTCCTAAGAACAGTGTTTGTGATTGGCTAGTACGCTTTAATTACAAAACACGTCCTTATTCAAAACGATTTGTGTTTGTTTGTTCTACTAAAATGACCATAACTTTTTTCGTAATACATATATTTAAATTCTGCTTTTGTTATTAAATTCTACATTAAATTACTATATTCTAATATATTCTACAAGCACACAAAGTTGAAAAACATGAAACTTTCAAAAAATGTCCACACTTTTGGCCACCACTGTATGTTTTTATGTGAGATCCATATGCATGAGGGAGTTACTGACTTTTAATATATTACTCAGATCGTCTCGTACTAAGCTGCGGTCTTAATGGTTCGAAGGTCTCAATTTTAGTCGCTAATAAGTTTGTGCAGAAAATATTTTAAGTTATGAAATCAGATTAAAAAACATATTTTTCTCAATAAACATACCTTATGTTCGAAGAGTTTCAATTCTTGACCCATGAAATATGGAGGGCAGCCATAACCTGGAAAATATGATCCCAATAGTTTAGGCTGGAGAGTGGTCGAAAGTTTAAGCCCCTTAAAATTAACACGTTTTTTAAACTCACCCGTTTTTGCCCCGTTTTCCTTTTTCATGCTGAGTAGTAAAAAAAAGTCATATTTCAAATTCTTATTTCCCAAAAACTACTTGATCAATTCTGTTCACATTTTAAATAAACAGTTAAATAATAAATTATGATAAAAAAATTATTTTTTACTTAACTATCATCTTTTGAAAAACGTGTATTATAATTGCGTATAAAATTTATTTAGTTACTTTAAAATGCTCGAAAAATATAATGAAATATGCAAAGTGTGAAAGCATTATAAATAGTCTGAAACTTTCGATCTCTCTCCTATCTGCAACTATCTGCACTAATTATTTCCAAATAACCTCCCGTATTTTGACGGTCAGGAGTCAAAATCCGCAACAAAAAAAAAGGAATTTTTACTCATAGAGAGTACTTTTTTCAACTTAAAATATCGTCGCCACAAAAATTTAAGATTAATTCTAGAACCATTAAGATTTCATCTTAGAGCATGAAAATTAAATAATTAAATTATATGTTATTGAGATATTCCGTTTTTCATTTTGGCAACTCTACATTCATCAGCCATTCTATAAAAACATACAATAATGTGTCACAATAAAATTGAGTCTTACCGAGTTGCAGAAAATATCAGACCAGAGATATATGTGAGAACACAAAGGTTATTTAAAATATACAAAAGTGCTGATAAGACTACGTAAAAATATATAATCTGTCAAAAGTGATTTTTCAGATGTAATGCAGCTGCTTTCTTAACAATATATAATGAAGCTCATTTAGATATCGATTATATTTTACTATTACTTCAGAATCAAAAATTGAGTTTCTGTTTCACCATTTTTGTTTCGTTTAATATCAGCATATATTTAATAAGAATTTTAAACCATTTACAGATTCTCTGATACTATACTTTTGTATTTTTGCAGAGTTTTATTATGGTATAAATGCACTCTCAGATAAATCAGTTAACCTTGATTAAACGTAATAAATTTGCTTTAACATTAAAGTAAATTTGCTCCACATTTTACAATGCTAAACTGAACCACCATAGTACACATTGCATAATCAGGTTTATTAAGGATAATATGGTAAACCGTGTGGTATCGACACATTCTCAGTTAAATAAAATAAACTCTCAGATAAATCAGTTAATGGTGATCAATAATGTGGTGCAAATTTGTTTCAATATTAAAGCAAATTTGCACCGTATTAGTGATCAACGTTAACCGATTTATCTGAGAGAGTATTTTATTTAACATTAACACAAATTTTTTCCATATTTAAGCATATAAGTTACATTAGAGCTATGCTTCAACATTAAAGGTAATTTGTTTTAAAATTAAGACAAATTTGCATCACATTTTAAGGTGTTCAATTAAACCATCTTTGTTACAAGTTGAACCATAGTCCGTATAATACAAGATAATATGGTACAACTCATCAATATATTATAATCGCAGAAAATTTATGAGCTATATTTATTCAACACACTTTATAATTTATATAACTTTGGATATATATATATATATTATCAAAGACTTTACACACGTAATTAAAAATCAGAGCATCTTACTTGGAAATCAGCATGAATGTTAAAATTTGTTCGTTTAGAATCAAAATCAGAAATCTAACAAGCTGTTAGTTTTCTAGACGGATGTTAATTTTCCCACATTTATCTCAGGAATGGGTTAGATTGTTTTTTTTTTTCTTTTTTTGGAAAGAATACTGATTGTTTCCCATATGAAATAATTTGTTCATCAACAAGATGGTTTTATAGTTTTTTAATTTATCATATCCTTGTGCCTCTTTTATTTGCGTCACCACTGTGGTCCTCAGCCTTGTTACGTCTACCACTGTAAATATTTTACGTCAGCACTGTAGTCGGTGAAAACCGGATGCGGAATTCGTATCGCCCAGCATCGCTAGGCTTCGATCCCGGTTCACCTTATTGACAGACGAACGCTCTATCCCCTGAGTTATCACGGCTCATGGATTACCATTAANTATATATATAGTTATCTCTGTAAATTTAGCATTAAACTTTTATCAAAGACTTTACAAACGTAATTAACATCATGGATAACAACTACTATTATGATTATTATAGATATTGTGGGTTTATTTAAGTTTCCTTCATCAAATTCAAATTTTTAATACATTATTTTTGACAAACAATAATAAAACTTAAGAACATTTTAAGTAGGAAACTATTGTAGTCATACAAAAAAAAAACGTAGTTAAAAATCAGAACATCTTACTTGGAAATCAGCATTTTATATTGAAATTTGTTCATTTAAAATCAAAATCAGAAATCTAACAAGCTGTTGGTTTTTTAGACGGGTGTTAATTTTCCCACATTTATCTCAGGAATGGGTTAGTTTCTTTTTTTTCTTTCCTTTTTTGGAAAGAATACAGATTGTTTCCAATATGAAATAATTTGTTCGTCAACAAGATGGTTTTATAGTTTTTTAATTTATCATATTCTCGTGCCACTTTTATTTGCGTCACCACTGTGGTCCTCAGCCTTGTTACGTCTACCACTGAAGATATTTTACGTCAACACTGTGGTCGGTGAAAACCGGATGCGGAATTCGTATCGCCCAGCATCGCTAGGCTTCGAACCCGGTTCACCTTATTGACAGGCGAACGCTCTATCCCCTGAGTCATCACGGCTCATGAATTACCATTAACGAGATGCGTTAAATGATTTAAAACTGAATAATCAGCTTCATGCAGAGTGTGATGCATGCAGAAATTGTATTTAATATATACGAATGGTAAAGAAAAAATTAGCACATTCATACTTCAAAAAAGTCCTCATATATAAAATATTCATACATTAAAGTGTTCAGTTTAAAAAAATTCATGATCAATATAGCAATATGCGCAATTCAGTTTTCGATCTCTTCGCTGATAATCCATTCGTAGATAATCGAGGCTTTACTCTGTATATTTGAGATAAGCTTTTTTATGAACTCATTTTTTAAAAGAAAAATAAGATTACATTCTTATTGCTTAGTTCAGTAGATTGTTACATAAAAACAAAATATCTAAATTTATTATAATTATGTGTACTAACTTAGAAAGTGTAACTTTGGTGCATTGGTACAGACGAAATGCCATAAAAGTATACGTATATGTTGGCAAAATTAACTGAAGCTAAGGCATAGGTGATTATCACAAGCAGAAAATTCTTTGTGTAACTTTTACCCTCAACACAAAGAAAATAAGAAAAATAATTAAAATTTTACAAAAAGTCAATGCTGCCGTCACAGTTGTTTCAGTAAAATTTTGTCGAACGTACTTTCTCACACTGATGAGTCAAGAACTATTGGATGAAACAATATAAAATTGGCTGTAATTTTTTCTTTTTTTTTGCAGCCATTTGTTCTTATGTCTGAAAATGTCACTATATTAAAATTCGAATTATTTTTGGAATAGTTAAATAGTTTACATTCACCGTTTTTCAGATTTTTCGTTATAAAGGAAAACCTAATCACGTATAAATAATAATATTTTGCAAACACGTACTCTTATAATTAAAAATAAAAAAAAGTTGTTCTTTTTTTAATTCGAATTAGTTTGAAAGCTCTTAAATGTAAAACTTTAGAAGTTTTTGGTATTTTTTTTACAAAATTTTGAAAAAATAATAATAAAATACATATTTTTCTAGTCATTTAGAGAGAACCAAGGTCTAATATTCTCATCTCATGTGGAAAAAAATTTAGAATATTTTAATTTGGGGGCTCGTTGTTATTTGTTACATAAACTACAATGTCGAGAATTCTTTCATATTCCTCTGTTTCTTCTACGATCACATTTACTTTCCCCTTTCCGCTTGAGTGACATTGCGTGTGTTTGATGTTAAACTATCTTTTCCTTATTTGCATTTTTTTTTCACTTTGAAAGAATAATTTGAAGGAACTAATTTTGTTTTCGTTTCTAAGAAAAAAGGCGAGTGAAAGCGAACAGGGATGGATTCCTCTAATTTTGTATATGATAATTTATTATACTAATAATTACTACTATGTAATTACTACTATGTAATTACTTTATTTTAATTGATTATCCGAAGGAAAAAGGTATCATAAAAATTTACCAGATTTTTTACGGTACCTTTCAGTGGCTTTTAAAATGGCCACTCTTACCTATATACAAGGTATTTCGTAACGACCACCATTGATGTATATTTTTAAAATACTAAACTAAACTCATCGGCGCGACAGCCCAAAGAGGGCCAAGGCCTACTGTGCCCATCTCAGTTTTCTTGACCTGGGGCTCTGGGGTGCAGAGGCAGATGTTCCGATCAGGTGGTCAACCGAACGCGGAACCCCCCGTGTTTAGTTCCCAAGCATGCTTGATACTCATTTATCTACGCACTGAAGAGATGAAAGGCTGAGTCAACCCTGCCCGGCCCGAGGATCGAACCAGGGCCTGTGGCACGACAGCCCGAAGCGCTACCGCTCAGTCACCGGGCATCATATTTTTAAAATACATGTGAATAAAGTATATTCATTAAGAGTCACGAATTATTATTTAAGCAAAAATGCTATTCCAATAAACTCTGTCAATCACTAATGAAGAAAGTGAGTTGAAAGACAAAGCAAATTTGGTCTCCTAATGATAATTGTAGGTAATTTGAATCCAGCAATCAAACAGGTTTTGAAGCTTGAGTCTCACTCTCTCAGTAAAAATACTTCATTTCTGGCAAGCTTTCTAAAAATATGCGTTAAAAGTGGTTATTTTGGAACACCTGTCTAACAATATCAATGCAAATTTGTTGATTATTGATTATTTAATGGGAAATTGTTTAAAAGAAATGCTTTAACTATATTTAATAACAGCAGAGAAATTATTGCAACAATTAAGAATTCGTTCTAATTTTTATCAACTCTTTGTTAAAGTATATGTCAAAGCTGAACAAAAGTATAATTAATTTTTATTGTTTCAATATTATATTGTTCACAATGACTGAAAAAGAGTTAAATCTTCATTGTCCTCACTCCTACACTGCTAAAATTTTCCACTAATACCATTTAATCTCATGTAATAAGATAACAATTACATTATAATACTCAATTGAAATAATGTCTGAAACTAACTTCTCCAACATGCTGATTACTAATTCCTGTAGGTTTCAAAAAATTATAACTCAAGCGTTTTCTGTTTTTGACGTTCGCTTTTGGTTCAGAGCTTCACTTTGTTTTGCCAGATACGGGAAGCAAACCTCTGATCTCCTTGTCACGTATGGAGGGCATTTTTTCAGACAATTTTTGCATTCAATGGACTTTGAAAAGAATCAGCAAGTTAATGAATTCATTGACGCACCATATTCCAGAACTGACGTTGAAGGAGCTGCTGGTGATAGCCACTTCTGTCAAAGTCACCAATCTGCTCATCAATTACTAGTACCCGACTTCCGTGAAAGATCTGTAAGAAACGGTAGTTCTCCTGGTTCTGGGATTTTCGAACCGAATTTAGGAGATGTTAGACCAGGGCGTAACTGGAAGTATACCAACTTGGCGCATTATGTAAGAACTTTTTCTGGTTCCTGGTAAAATTCTAGATTTCTGGTAAATTCACCAAAATTGCTTGATTTCTGGTAAAATCACCGAAATGACATTTCTGGTTTAAAAAAAATAATTCTGGTAATAGAAACCAAAATATATGGTATTTAAGTCAATTCATTTAATAATTTTCCTATACCTATGATAACAGTTTACCAGAAATTCAGGTTTTCAAAATTATTGTTCTTATTACCACACATTTAGTGAAAAATGCAAAACTGAAAATTAAATTTGACAGAATAAATGGTTTTTTATGTTACGCTCTAAGGTATCATGATAAAATAATATCAGGATAAGGTATCAAATTTTGCTACTTTTTTACCAAATTTTAACACGCATTACAAAACCATATTTCGTAGTTAATTTCACCAAAATCAGAATAAAACCGCTTATAGAGTTTCTTGATGTTTTATGGTGTTTGAAGTTGGTAAATTTTAAAACAATTCAGGCATTTTAAATGCTATTTTCTTATCCAAACATGTATTAAGGTAACATAGCTCAGTATTGCACATACTTCTAATTGAGCAAAACTTACTTTGACATTGAAAGAGCATAAACTTTTAAATCAATATGTCGTGCAAACATACATAAGATTTAAGAAAAATCCAAAGTTCAGGCAAATAATAAATATTCAGAATAGATTTGTAAGTACATTTTTACAATACGTACTTTTTATATTTGTTTGAGTGAATAATATTTTCCATTAAAAAAATTAAAACAGGGAATTTGTGAAACATTAACATCAATAATAAAGAATACGACGTTTTTACTCATTACGGAAATTTTGATGTGACTTGTCTTTCATAGAAATTGCCTTCTTTCTCCAAATGATTGAAAATTCATGAGCAAAAAAATTTTAACTTATCATGCCTTACTAATCCGCCCTCTCTATGTCTGAAAAATAAGCCAAAACATGAATACTATATCGTTAAAATATATGTGCAATATTTGGGAATAAAACTTAAACTAAGTAAAACTAAACATGCTCAGAATTTAAATTTAATGTACAGGGTGTCCGAAATTTCCTGGCGCGTACGATATAAAGTGATAGAATACAGCTATACAAGTATGAATCACCATACAACCCATATTCGGAACTCAAGTCGTGAAGCGTTAAATTAAGAAGCATGCTGTGTCATGATATGTTGGGAAAAAAGACAGACGGAGACACCGATAAAATGAAGAAAAATATTTTATTCAACAAAAGGAGATTAAAGAACACTAAGTCCCAGAGGAACAGCTCAAAATTGCGACCGTCAATATTGACGCAGGCTTCATACCGTCAAAAGAATGACCACCGTACATTGACGAAAGCACCAGGCATCTCTCTTATGATGTCAACAGCTACGGATAACCGGGCAAGAAGGTCCTCATTAGAATATATGAGACCATCATCAGAATATATGATGATATATATCAATGGGAATATCTGAGGATATATATCATGTGTATGACGTCCAGAAAAAGTCAAGACATAACAAATGCGGTGAGTGATCGTTGATTGGATCACCATCGCCCCGGATACACGATATATAAGGCTTTACCCACTTATACACTTTAATGAGCTGGTGCCCCGTCTTGTTGGAACCACATGAGTCGCGTAATGTGTGCTGATAGCTGGAATGAACGAGGACGTATTTCGAATGGATTTTCAGTTGCCGCACGTGATAGTTATGTGTATTCGAAATACCCTCGCATGTGAATGTGCATTAGTCAGTTAACAGTACATGTGCACAAAACTCCGGGTCCACAGTCGTCTATTGGAGAAACCATGCGGTAAAATTGACACTTGCTCAGTAATTCGATGGTTCCAGGCCCTGAACTTTCTACGATGATAGGTATGCATTTCTTCATCCCCCAGCACTCGATACGCCATATTACGGGAAACATGAACGGCTTGGGAGAGTGCCCGTGTGTT